TTCCATGTGGACTGCCAGGAGGCCATTTACCTTGGAGCTATTAGCATTTGACTTTGACTACCAAAGAATGTGTGTGTGTGTGTGTGTGTGTGTGTGTGTGTGTGTGTGTGTGTGTGTGTGTGTGTGTGTGTGTGTGTGTGTGTGTGTGTGTGTGTGTGTGTGTGTGTGTGTGTGTGTGTGTGTGTGTGTGTGTGTGTGTGTGTGTGTGTGTGTGTGTGTGTGTGTGTGTGTGTGTGTGTGTGTGTGTGTGTGTGTGTGTGTGCGCGCGCGCGGAAGTTTTAATCCTTTGAAAATGCCTCTGAGACCTCCCACACTGCACAGTCCTGAACAATACTGTATCCTGAAGCACAGATGGGAAATGTCGGAAAAGCCAAACTGTAAACTCCAGAGGGTTCATTAGTGGTGACTAAACACCAAAACTGACCAGGATTTACATCCACCTCGTTAAAAACTGCAGACAAAGAAGTCCGAGTCCGATTATCTCGTCACAAAGGCACCTATAAAACGTTGTGATATATTAGTCGACATAGTCAACTGGTGAACTGGCAGCGGAGTCGTGGGCGTTCATGGATCGTTACACCTGCCTGTGTGGTCAAATCACACAGAAGAGCTACTGTAGAACAAACGACTGAAAACCTTAGTGCTGCTGAGACTGAAGGGAACACAGAGGACAAAGCTGCTGCTGATGGGGTTGGTGCTGCATAGCTGGAGACCAGTAAGGGTGTCCATGGTGACCCATTACTAAAAGCATACATGATACCAAAAGCAAGAGGAGGTAATACAAACCAAAAAGTCATGTGAACCTCAACAGATGAACAGATGAGTGAAACGTGGTGATTCACATATTATTTTCCAGGAACAGCACACTTTATCTGTTACAGTTATCAGTGTACACAGAGCACGAGATGCACATTTCCGGTAGAGTATGTACTCAGAAGACAGTTTAGTTCTCAGGCAAGTATCTAGAGGTGGGAGAAGGGTGTGCTTGGTTCCAATGTGGTTTTATTGATTCAGTGGATTTTTTTAAAGAATAACATTTAAATGTTTGCATCAGTTATTTGTATTCATTTGTGTATGTGTTAATTATATTTAATGATGTTCTGGATGAGTGCAGTGTGTCAGTCCAGTGTAATATTTGTCCAAGGCAACATTTTCACAAAGGAGACAAATGAAGACTTTGACTTTTGCACTTTTAGTTGTGAGCAGGTCCAGTAGACTTCATTTTTCTGCTTATTTCCTTATTAACCTGTTTTGAAATATTGTAACATATTGTTCACTTTTCCATGACAAAAACTAAAAGACTACTCATCACTTCCTGATTGGAGGCAATCGCCCGACAAGCACACGAGAGACAAACAGGACAGTCGTCAAAGCGACAGCCGACTCAGAGAGCACAAAGGGCACGTCAGCACGGAGCACACTTCTTTTATAATCCACCTTTTCTCTTCACTCAAGGCGTCTCTTCAGAGCTAACAATGGTCATCCATCTGATCTTAGCTCTGCCTGAAACTGTCGCCTCCCACCTTGCCCCCCCCCACCCCCAACACAGAAATATCTTTTGTTGACGTACGATAAGAGATCAGTGACACAGGATGGAGGAACAATGATTTTCATTCATCCAAACCAAACTCGCAGTGAGTTTACATATCACACATGTGCAACCCATGTGAAAATATCTGCAGTTACATGATGATATTTACTAAATACACACGTCTGATAAAAGCAACAGGCCTGTGCTGTTCTGTCCTTCGTTTATCTCCGATAACAGCCAAAAATACTCTTAATACCATCGCCTGCACAAACTCTTCTTTCTCCAGAGCTTCCAGGGAGGTTATGTAAGCAGACATCTTTTACTGCAGCTATCGTCCTGTTATCACCTCGGGTCTTTTTTTAAAGAAGGCAGCTCTAGCTCTCATGACAGCTAGAAGCAACAGAACTACACACATAAAGGAAATCACAACACTCTCCTCTAAAGGAATTTATATACATATATGTATGTATGTATGTATATTTAGGACAGCGTTGTTTGTCATTGAACTAGCGTCATGGTACAATGAAATGTAGTTTCAGTACAGACATACGGCACATGAAACATGTAGATGCAACAATGGTTTGATTGTTTATAGCGCTCCCATTTATGCAGATCAGAAGACAATGGGTGACAAGAGGGCAGGAAAAAAAACATGTGGCCCTACTCTGCTCCTTACAGGCCACAGTTGGTTTGCAAGAAAAGAACACCTCAGACATTAAACCACATATTCAGAAAGTCACAACATAATTTAAAGTGAGGTGGGTGGGAATGGTCACGCATTCAAGGGAGCCCAGCAGTTAATCATCAGCGCAGCCTTCCACCTCTACTGCCCAGGATGTGCAGCAAGTTGAAAAACGACGAGCTCTTGCATTCATGTGTGGCAGTGTGAGTGAGTCCAAGAACTCTCTCTCATTTCACTTGCTATGTCCGTCGTATCAGATGCAACAATACGACCTTCCAAGGAGTCCACAGTCCAATACGGGAGGGAGGGGTAGGGCTTCTATCTGCATAAACATCCCAGCTGAATGAACGGCCTTCCAAGGCCGACATGTGGGGGCCAAATTTGTTCAGCATAAATGAGTACACCCCCTTTAAAAAGTACACATTTTGCTCAATGAACAAAGAACAATTTTCCGAATTTTCACAAGGCTGGTTTTATTGAACCATTTTTTAACTCAGTAACATGAAATTAGGGTTAATAATATAACTTATATTACAAAATCTTCAGTTTTACTAAAATTGGTTGAAGCAAAAATGAATACACCCCACAACAAAAACTACTACATCTAGTATTTTGTATGACCACCGTGATTTTCAAGGATAGCACCAAGCCTTCTAGGCATGGAATGAACAAGTTAGCGACATTTCGCAGCATCCATATTTTTCCATTCTTCAAAAATAACCTGTTGTAGAGCCTGGAGGCTGGATGGAGAGTGATGCTCAACTTGCTGCTTCAGAATTTCCCACAGGTGTTGGATTGGATTCAGATCAGGAGACAGACTTGGTCATTCAATCACCTTCACCCTGTTCTTCTTCAGAAATGCAACAGTAGCTTTAGATGCGTGTTTTGGATCACTGTCGTGTTGAACACGTCTATCTCCTTCAGTATAGAGCCATACATTGCTCAGTTTATGATACCATCAATGAAGTACAGCTTCCCAACACCAGCAGCACTTATGCAGCCCACATAAGGACACCACCACCACCATGTTTCACTGTAGGCACCATGCATTTCTCTTTGAAACAGTCACCTTTAACCATAAGTTCCAAAAACGGTGAACTTTGTCTCATCACTCCAGAGTATAGAGTCCCAGTAGTCTTCATCTCTTTCAGCATGGGCCCTAGCAAATCCTAGGAGTGCTTTTCCTAGTGTGCTTTTTCCTTTGTGGATGATACCCATGCATTCCTCTGCAGTGTGTGCCGAATGGAATTAGGGGAAACTCCAGTTTGGCGTTCTACTGCTTTAGCTAACTCGAGTGACCTTGCATGGAGATTTTCTTCCACGCTTCTCTTCAGAAGATGCTCCTGCCAAGATGTAAACTTTGGTGGACGGCCTGGACATCCCTGCAAGATGGATGCACTTCAGTCTCTTACATTTTTGAGTCATTTTGCTACAATATTATGACTGATGAGCAAAGGCTTTGCTGATCTTGTAGACCTCACCTTTTTGTGTAAATGAATAGTTTCCTTTCTCATATTTTGTGACATTTCTCATCCATGTGGAGCCATCACAGCATGAAATGGGAAGGGCTTTTCTTTAAGTAATGCCCAAAACAGCCATTTTTCATTTACTTTACTCAACATGAGAAAACATTTGTTTAGCCACATATTTAGTATTGACATGCTAAGATTATTTAAATTCTTCACAAAAATACACAAATTGTATTTTTGATTTTGACCAATTCAACTAAATTCAGTTTATTTATATAGCACCAAACCACAACATTCCAATACAGGCGAGTTCATTAAGCCAATCAGTAAACATTTCCTATATGAGGAATACTCATACTAAGCAAGCATGCAGTGACAGTGGGGAGGAAAACTCCCTTTTAACAGGAAGAAACCTCCAGAGGATCCTGGGTCAGAATAAGCAGCCATCACCACGGCTCACTGGGGATCCAGAAGACAGATCTCTCTCTCTCTCTCTCTCTCTCACACACACACACACACACACACACACACACACACACACACACACACACACACACACACACACACACACACACACACACACACACACACACACACACTTTTCATTTTGAAACCAAGCAAGAAATCCCAGAAGGCCTCAGTTAGATTTAAACATCCAACACTTTACGACCAAAACCAAACTGAAAACTGCTGCTGACAGAGTCTGTCAAGCTAAAATTTGTCTCCGTGTTTTATGATGTTTGTCAGCACGTCTGGCTCTAAGGAGAACCTATTTGTTCAACTTTGCGGTCAGAGCGGCCAAGACTCCCACTTCCTGCAAACAGGATTACATAAAAGGCCTCGGAGGGAGCTGAGGTACATGATCGGAGGCGAGACGAAATGGGCAGAACAGTGGAAAGAATGAGACAGAGACAAAGAGGATGGATGGGAGGGAGGAAGCAGCCTGGAAAAAATAATTGTTGAGGAGACAGAGGAAAGCCTCTAATGACAGCAGACAATAAAACGTGGTCGCTGCAGTAGCGTCTGCCCTGCCAGGAGGACAAAGGAGCAGGAACTGTTCAGAAGGTTCAGAGGGATTGAACGACCACAACAAGGCCAGAAAACAGAGCATTGTCTGGGAGCAGGCTGTTATTAGGCCGTGTAACCATGGGGTCTGACACCCCTCGCACCTCCAGTACACTGACCAGTGACGAGTCAGCTGCCTAATTGGGTGGTCTGAATTTAAAAGAATAAACAAATCTGAAAATCAAGTCAGAATCACACTAATTAGTTCTAAGGAAATTATTCTGTTTTAAAATAAACACATTCAGACACCAAATAATTTACAGCTTTTTTATTATTACTACATTTGTCTAAGGCAGCCGTTTGTGCTCACAGGTCTCTACTGTTGTATTGTGAATAAAACAAAAACAGTACAAAAATGATCAGTTTTGCTGTTTTGCTACAGATGTCACACTGAAGTTTACAGACAAGCATTCAAATCATTCACTTTCCCCTTCAAGTAGCTACTTTCCAAAGTGACTAGTGTAAAATTGGCAGAGGAAACATTTGTGATTATTTACATTTTACAGGTCCAGCAAGTGTGTGAGGAGAGGAAACAGAAAACACACGTGTACACACACACACATGCACGCGCACACACACGCGTGCAGACAGATGAGACTGACAGCCTTCTGAATTATACAACGGCTTAACACATTAAGCTTTTCAGTGCAGCAATGCAACATTTAAGACTTCATTAGAGCGCCGTTGAAAGCCTCCACCTGCTGAGGTTTGAGAAAAGTCTGGAGCAGAACTAAAGTGCTCTTGCACAAGTTTTCCTGTCACACAATCCCCCTCTCCTTCAGGGTGGAAAACTTCAAAGCAAGAAAATGTACCCATGCAGGCATTTGACCCCGGGGCAATGAGGTTTGAGAGTCACATCTCAACGTTCAGCGTTTCCATCGTGAGATGCTCGACAGCTGTCATCTCTTGTTGTGTGCTCGCTCTTTACAGGTTCTGGAATATTGATTCCATTCATGAAGACACGCGTGCACGCACTAGAGTTCATAATGGTGGTCTCCTGCAGTTACACACGTTTGATTAAACTTATTTTACTGCTGAATGTTTACAACCTAGTCATGTCTGCCCTGCATTTGAGACGTTTGTGACAGAGGAGAAAAACATTTCCCCCAAAAAGGATTGTTGTTGACCCTCCCTGCAGATAAAAGGCCTCGTGTTTAACCACACAACCAGCACAATATCCTTCGTCCTCCATGCAAAGCTCCATGTGTCTTTGGTTCAAACCAGAGGACAAAAAGCAGATAATTATGTTTTAACTGCTGCATAATCATGGTGAAACATCATTTACAGATTTTTCCAAGGAGCCAAGACAGCGCGCCCAACTTCAGTGCAACAACTTAAACACACGTTAGATTCTAAATATCCACATTCAGTTTCAGTTCATCAGCAACAAATGATTATGGTTTCATTACCTGCCAGGAGGCTTACACACACACACACACACACCAGATTGTGTGTGGTTAACATACACAAATATCCAAACGGACATCTGCTTGATTTTCACATCTTCACAAGTTTGTTAAAAGACCGCAGAAGGAAGCCAAACTAACATAATACACAACATGAAATGAACAAAAACCTCCATGTAGACAAAACTAAATGCTTACGTGTCAACATCTTTATGCAGGGAAACAAAAATCTGACAAATCTAAATCATAAACTTGAAAATGACACAGGACCCTTTTTGAACTTTAAAAATCCAGCTGATAAAATGTCATCAATCAACAAATCAAACTGTCGTCCAAACCTTCGAACCTCAGTTAAAGTGACAACTTTACGTAGTAGAAATGTACCATCAGTCAGCCGATTGGTTAGCCTGCATACGTCAGATCACAGAAACCTATTCCAGTGACAAAAGATTTTATAAAAACACAAACTGTCCATCAGGGACAGTTGTCAGTTCGGCTGGAGGACACAAGCACCAGCTGGAATATTAATGCTCCAACAGCCAAGAGGATAGAAAGTGTCGTCTCCCACGTGTTTCCTGCTGCACCATCAGCCACCTTAAATGTGGGTTAACTAGTGCATCATTTAAACAAACAACTGTCCTGGTGTCCATGATGATGAGATACTTAAAGCAAGGATTTTGGGAAATGCTTCCCCAGTTCAGACAAACTCAAACCAATTTATTGTTTTCTTTGTGCCTAAACATAAAAAAAAAAAGAAAACATTAATATAAAAGCCCCCTAAATTAGTTGATTTTCGTCATGTGCCAAAAAAAATAAAACACTCCTCCTGCAACTGTAATTTCTGTTTTACGTTTTCTTTTTAGGGCAACAGTTAAACATTAAAAGGCCAATATATTCATTTAATTGAAATAAAGTAGAACAGTCTAACAATTCAACAAAAGTGGAAACTACAATCAGTTCTTACCAAATAATTATGATTAAGACCAACAAACAAAAATCAAAATCAAATGAAGCTTCGCAGTATGGACAGCCGTACAATCGCATTTTACATATTTTCCACGTTAAAGTACCTTCATTAGCTTGGAATGGAGTATTTTTACATTTGTGCAAACGAAAGTTCAAACAGGCTTGGATAAAAGTCTCCGGTCCTGCAGAAGCAAACTGCGAAGAGCAACTATCCATCGCTGAACTCACCTTCTTCATTAAAAGATAAAAGGAGTCTTCTTTTAGAAACATCCTCTTCAGTTCTTTTGTTGTCTTTGGGTTAAAAACAAACAAAAACACAACAAGACACCTTTGTTTTACTCCAGATTTCCACCCCATAATTAAGCTTTGATTAAAAAAACTACCTAAATTTTAAATAAAGGCAGTTTAGATAGAAATACGAAGTCAATGTGTCCAAACGGAAATGTTGAGCCTTTCATTGAGCCGCTGCTCTGTGTGGACAAATTAACCGTGCCGTCACTGATCAGGCCTTGTGGTTCACTTGGGATTAGTGGATGTCCTGTGCTTGTTTTGTTTTAAAATCAGTGCTGCTTCTGCTTCTTCATTAAAAAAATATGACGTCCTCCTTATTGAGGTCGTCTGTGGCGATGGAGTAAGGAGGTGGTTTGCTGTGGCTCAGCCCGTGAACCTGTGTGTTTGGGCCATGGCTCGTCGGCTGCAGCTGGATGGGATCAGAGCCCTGACACTGGGGAGGCATGGAGGGAGGGGGGTGGATCGGCATGGGGGGCTTCTGCACATTTGGAGGATGGGGAGCGTCTAGTCCGAGGCTGTCTGGAGGACTCAGTTGATCTGTCAGACACAGAAAGGAACATCAATGAGGACAAGGGATTACTCTAGAAAGGACACAGTAGTCAGCAGTGTTGGGTTATTAATCCAAACTGCTATCAATTACATGATCGTTCACCAATAGCAGTAATTGTGAGAAAACAGGATTAAACTGTGTGTCAGCAGTACAGGTGGTCATCAATCAGAGGGAAGCATGTGAAACTGATGGGTGTTTACACAGGGTGAGGCCAGCAAAGCCAGCAAGGCCAGCTTTAGAGAGGAATGTGAGAGGGCGGGGTTCGCTTTGCCCAGGTGAGGAATTCTGTGTCTGTGAGAACCGATGTTACTAAACACAGCAGGCAAATGCACACATGGACCGATCGTGTTTGGGTTTGTCCAGATCAGGTGCAGAACGGTACCTGAGTGTTGGTGCAGGGAGTGGGACTGAGGAGAGGCCGCCGAGGGCGTCTGCTGGTGGGGGCTGATGGAGCGCTTGGCTTTCAGGACGTTGTCCTCTCTGGAGGACAGTTTCAAAGGAAGCATCTGCTTCATATCAACAGAGGCTACGAGGTTAGAAAGAGATGACAAAATATTAGATTGTTGTTTTAAACCAAAGTGACTGAACAGGACAACATCTTACAACTGTATGTGGGTGGGAGGGGGGAACCCACGGACACCAGTCTCCTGCAGAAACTAAAGTTCATGTGTTTTCTACTAAGGTTGTAGTGTTAAGTTGGTCTTGAAGGTATCAGCTCCACCCCAGAAAACAGCCTAAAGGAAGCAAAGTCTAGGAACGAAAGCACACCAGTGATCTAAGAGTCATCCAAGGTGACCCAAAGCAGGCCCAGACACGCATCTCATAACATTCTTCTTCACATATTTGGTGTCATTTCAAAGAGCAACTCAAAACTTGTTTGCCTCTTTGATAAACACCCATGTTTCCCACAGGCTGACGGGATTGACAGCAACACTGTTGCCAAACCTGCAGGGAAGTAAAAGGTGCCAAAAACGGAATTTTCGGAGTAGTTTCTTGCGTCCTTTACTCCTTCATTCAGGATTCTAGCCTGAGGGATCTTGTAAAGATGCTCTGAAGTCAGCTCTTACTGGTGTAAATAAAGCTCCGTCTCTTGTTTCTTCAATACGTTTGCCATGGTCTCTAGTATAAAAGAATGACTTAGGGTTGCTTTCTGTAGAAAAAAGCTCGGGCACTCCTGTTTCAGGAAGTAGAAGTCAGCCAACAGAAATGGGTTCGAGCGGGGGGGCAGAAAAAGGCAGGAATAGGAATCTTGCTCACTATTATTCACAATAATCAGAAAGCTTGCCTCTGATTGGCTAACAGAAAATTTTGCCATTTTGTGGAGTTGTTAAAGCTAGCAGTTAGCTTCTACTTGCGAGACGTGCACTGCGGTCTCCTGGACGCCAAATCAACAACACACGGGCAGAAGATTACATGTTAAACTCAGAGCGACTGATCATATTTCAAAACCAAGAAGTTTCTCAGAGAAGATACTCTTTAAGAGACAGACCCTGGGTCCTTACCTGTGCTGTCAGTGCGGTGTGAGGCCTTTCCGCTCTTCCCCCCTTTTCCTTTGCCACTGTTGATTGCTGCCAGTTTGGTTGGGATCTGCTGCTGCACCCCAACAGGTTTGTGCTGCTGGTTGGTGGTGCTGAAAAGATGGAGAGGCACTTCTGTCTTCAGAGGCAGTGTGGAGGAGCCTGCCTCTCGCCTCAGAGTCACTTCAGGGCGTTCGGGGTAGTCGGCGGGAGCGACGGACAGGCTGCCACGCACTATGGGCTTATGGGAAAGAGGCAGGTCAGACACAGCGGAGGAGCTGGACAGGAGCTCCCCGTTCAGACTGCCAGAGAGTGGGGCCACCTTAAGGTGAAAAAAATAATAAAGACTGCATGTTATTAAATAAGACATAAGCTTGATCTTGTCACAAACATAATTTTCCAAGAACTGAAACACTCCGCTCTAATTATTAGCATCGATGTTTGATTCGGTCTGGAATGGAGATATAAAACATCTGGTTTTCATTTTTACCCCAACAAGCCTGCAGAGAGCATTTTAGCTCTAAAATGAAAGAAGCCCAGTAGTGAAGGGTATTTATGGGACTAAAGAGAGAACCGGAAACACACTGAACTTTTTCTGCTGAGCATGCATTATAGAAAGCCTTTGATGCACTGTATGTGCAAACATGATGAGGAAAATAAAACCACTAATGGCCCTTGTGCACATAAAGGCGTGTCTAAAAAAACAGGTCACTGAACAAGTAGTGAAACAAGGAAACAAACGTCATGAAAGCCGAAAGTAAAAGACAGACTGCTTTGTTTTTAAAATCAGTGGAATACAAGCCAACATCAACATTGGTTTTTTTACTTATTTTTGAAAATGATCGGCCACTGATCAGGCTGAATGTGAAAATAGTCTTCTACACCTATCTCCTGCATTATCTTCTAATAGATGAAACGCTAAGATTTAAAAAGCCTGACAGATCCATGTCACACTGTCACTTAACATGGACTCATCCATTTGACTCGCGACTGAGAAGGATGCTGTTGGTTTATCGTCAGGAACAGCAGACCATTAGCATAAGCAACTCCACAACACAGCAGAACTCCTTCAGGCTTGAGTTATTTGTGGAGGTAAAACAACAAGGTTGCAATGCAGTCAGTGGTAGTTGTGTTGTTGTTGTTAGCCAATCCAAGGTGAGATGTCCAAATATCAAGAAATAAGACTCCAAATCCTGCCGCCTGAAGCTACTTTTACCTCCAGCTGACTTGTACTTCCTGAAACGGTTGCATTTGAGCTTTAATGCCCCCCAGCATATGACTTACAAGCGGAGCAGATTTAATCATTAAGATCATTCATTTCTACTAGAGACCACTGCAAATGCATTAAAAAATGAGTGAAGGACCTCTTTAAATTAAATGAAAGCTATGGGTCTCCTAGAACATTACATTTGAACATGCTAAATCAGTTTCATTAGACATGGTTTAAATGGATTTCCACACAGGGATGAAACTTTGGGGGAAAGCACCTAACCCATACCCCAGCCATGGTTGCATCTGAAGCATTTCTCTTTAAAACACTATTTCTACAAATGTCATCAACCTTTAATCTGGCCAGCCCTCCGTGATGTGACTTAAACCTGAAATCAGTGCACATCTGATTTGTCTGGTATGTAGCCCACATTCAACATGACTGATGATGATGATCCTAAACTGTGTAATGATGAGTTTCCTCCAGCTGTGACCACAAAGCAGAACGTGATGACTCTGGTAAAAGAGGGGCTCCTTTGTGGGAAAACTACCCACATCTCCTCGCCTGACCCTACCTTCTTACCCCTTCACTTCTCATCTTTCAGCACTCACTCATCTTGGTACACAGATGTGCATTTGTTCTTGGAACAAGGTGGTCTGCCGTAACAGCATAAGAACACAGGTATCCGGGTTACTGATGCATGCAGAAGCAACAGAGACATCTGACTGACAGCACATAAACAATTAGCCCTGACTGCCTTCCAGAGGTCTTTGGTAATAACAGGTTAGAGCTGGCTAATTATACAGCCAGGTTCCCCTCGACGTGAAAACTGCCTGGATTCTCCCCAATCATCTTTACTAACATTGAACAAGATGTCCCCTTGTTACCCCAGCTGGAGGAAAACAGGTCAGGTAAAGGCTAGGGTCGTGTTACTGCCACTCGGGGGAGGGGGAAGATGCAACCTTACAGGGTTCAAAGATGGAGTGAAAGTCAGAGTTGATGATCTTAACACTTTGTCCTCTTGGTGAGGCCGACGTCCCCTGGCTGATCCGCTCTGAGGGGAACACAAGGGAACGCAGCCTCCTCTACACCCGTTAAATACCCACAATCCCACGCTCTGAGGGACTGAGATCAGCCAATTTTCAAGTATGTCTTTAGCTATTATAAATCCAACTTTGACATTTTATGGCCCATCTGCAGCACTGATCTGGGCTGAATTGGGAAGATATCCGGGATAAACTCATTTAATCCTTCATCAAATAGTGTCCCAGTGATCACAGGGTTTTTTATGACAGGATTACTCTGGGTAAATAATGATTCTGCTACGTTTGGCACAACTAGAAATAAGCAAGTACTCCTCTGGAAAGCTGTTGTAATAACTGAATTAAACTTAATGTTTTATTCTGTCTGGTGGAAAACCGTCTTTAGATAAAAACAGATTCTGTTTAGGTTTGACCACCAGGTCTTCCGTTTGGTTAAAAAAATGGCTTCAGAGAACAAACAACAAAATCTGCTTACTTATCTGGGCTAAAAGTTGCTCCAACATAGCATTGTTCCACATCGGCTACACTAATTAGGTTACCTGGATTACCTTTTACCTGGTGAGAGCGCTTAAAGGTGAAATGGAACAAGAATTATTGTGTTTCTGACTTCTAATAAACACATCAACACTGACAACAGGATTACAAAATATTTCAATCACTAAATAATGACAGTTTGTATTTTCCCTGGTGATAGGGAGCAGTAAATACCTAAATCTTTGCAAGTAAGTGGTGTTTTTGTGTTTGAGGAAGACCTCACCAACGGATGACCATTAGGGTCATAAATCCCACAACTTCTTGCTGGAGGAAAATTGTGTAAAACAACGTTTATGAATGACAAATCAGTAAATGCATTTTGTCCTCATGGGCTCCTGTAGCATGAAACAAGGTTTCTAATATGGCGTCCAGAGAGATTTAGACCAGATTTTTATGGGTTTATGTTACGAAGGCGCCGATATTTTTCAACAACTGGGCATCATTTATTTCATTTTTTATGGATATTTCCAGAGATTAATGGTAAAAACTACACATAGTCTCTTTAAGCTGCAGTAAAGTGAAGAGTTCAAACTAATCGTGACGTGTGTGTGTGTGTGTGTGTGTGTGTGTGTGTGTGTGTGTGTGTGTGTGTGTGTGTGTGTGTGTGAAAAGCTGATGAAAACAGAGGGAAAAAAATCCAGAACCACTGAAATATAACATTTTTTGTTCTTTGCCATCTTTAGCAATACTCAAAATATAATCTGTACACTATATTGGAGCAGGCGGAGGGAGACTAGGGGTCTTAGCACACCTTTGTTGTTGCTTGGCTTCCTGGGGCTGGAGGCTAGGAGGGAGATCTGGCCGTCTGGTTGGGGTCTGGGGTGGTAGGTTGCTGTGCTCAGCGTTGGGCGGGGGAGCCTGCTCATCAGTACCCCAGCAGAAAGGGTCAAACTCTGGTACCCGGTGATGGTTGTACCCCATGTGCAGCAGTACCGGGACCAGAGTGAATAGGGTGTGTATGGGGAGCATGAGTGGGTGTCCAGCGTGCATTTTTGTAAGTCTTGGGTTGTATGTGCATGTGTGAGCATGAGGGAGGGATTGTGTAGCTGTGTTTGTGTATGACTGTATATGTCAGGTGGGGACTTTGACTCCTCTCTTCTCCTGGGACTTCTTTTGATGATATAGATCTTCGTCTCCCCTCCCCCTGCCACACCTGGTGTGGGGTGTGGTGCCTTGGTCTGCCTGAGTGTTCGTGTCTCCCGCGTCAGGGAGTTTAAGATCTTTGGCGTCTGCCTGATCAATCCCGGTGGCTGTCTGGTGGGGTCTGGGTCCCTGGGCTCTGCTCGGTCCCTGGCGGGGGTGGTCGCCCCTGGGTCCCGGGTCGCTGGGTCCCGGGTCGCTGGGTCCTGGGCTCGGCTGGCTAGGGGGTGGGAGGCTGCGGGCGGGCCTGTGGGCTTGCCACAGGAGATCTCCAGGGGCTCTGCCAGCTGCTGGTTGTGGCCCCCCGGGGCGACCCTCTGTGCCACTCGAGGGGGGCGAAGGCCTTTCTGGTTGCAGTCTCCTTGGGGTTCCTGTGTTCTGGGGCAGCGCCTGGATCTCTGGGAGCTCCCCCCGTCTCCTACGCATCTTTGGGGGGCAGATCTGTTGTCTCTCACTCTCTCTATTGGACGCTCCTATAGAGAAACCTTACATAAACAGGCGCGTGTACACACACAGGTGCTCACATGGCGCTCTCAAAAGTATGGGCTTGGGCACGTTCAACACATGTCTTAAGGCTGTCGTTGCCACTAAATGCACTGTGATTTATTATCGTGTGATTGTTCAGTTAAACAATGTTAATTTTATATTTCATCATCAGGTTGACGCGGTGGTAGCTTGCTCCTGATGTATTGTTGTGTGTCCCATGTTTTTTTTCTTCTATTCTTTCTCTTTCTGCAGGTCTAGAAGCAGAATCTTGTTAATTATTGTTTATTTTTGTGGAACCCCCACCCCCCACCCCCTTCCCCCCACCTTTTGTCTTTTCCTTTCTCTTTCAGCTCCGTCTCCGTGTCTGGTCGGAATTACAAAGCATTCAAAAACAAAAACAATAAAGTTTTAAGTATCAGGTGTGACATTAAAAGCAGAAGCTTTGATGCTCCACCTGAGAGTAAATCTGTAAGGCTTGTTACCAGCATTCAGACATCAATTCTGTTTGCTTCACAGCCAGACAGGACACGGATAAAATATATATATATATATATATATAACCTGTGGGTGTTGCAGATGCTTCTTTATTTCTTTTTCATTTCATATTATTTTATTGCCATATAAATCTCTAACCTCAATGATGCACGAGTTTTATGAGTATACAGCCACAGGACTATTATGCAGTCCGACACATGTCTTGCTCTAATGAGATAACAGATGAAAACAGAGTTCTTTTGAAATGAGGGCAAGCTACAACTAGCAGTTATTACAAACACTTGGATGTGTTGAGAAAAGCACACCGAGAAGCACACACATCTTTTTTCAAAAGGTCTAATTATAGCTTGGCAAGTTTGCTGATGACTCTTAATTTTGGGTGGTGGTGATTAAATGTCAACTGATATCAGGTTG